ACCCAGACCCTGGGCCCTGGCCGGCCTGGCTCAGTGGCAGAGCATCGGCCTGCACACCTGAGGGTCTTGGGTTCGATTCCTGGTCAGGGGCACGTACCTAGGTTGCAGGTACGATCCCCAGCCCTTGTTGGGGCGCATGTGGAAGGCAACCGATCAATTTGTCTCTCTCACACTGATGTTTCTCCTCCCTCGCTCTCTCCCTCTGCCCCTCCCCTCTCTAAAAAATCCAGTGGAAAAAATATCCTCACTCCTTGGGTGAAGATTTAAAGATGCGGGTTCTGAGACTTTGTGGCAGTACGTGCGAGGTAAGTCACTCTCGCTGTTCATCTCAGCAGGATGCGGGCGAAACTCTTGCCGTCAGAATGCAGATGGCAGATTTCCGGCTCTGTCCTTGCATTGCGTTACTCACAAACAAGGTCTGTCCTGGCTGACCAGGCGCTGCATTCTCAACGCCTTGCGGCTCCAGCCTGGGAGAGCACGTCCCTCCCTGGACCTCACCACGCCCCTGCTGAGACCCTCCAGGGACTCCGGAATGCCTATCCCAGGGGTTGGCAAAGTCATCAGCCAGCAGAGCCAAATACCAACAGGACAATGACTGAAATTTTTTTGGAGAGCCACATTTTTTAAACTTCAACTTCTTCTAACACCACTTCTTCAACATAGACTCGCCCAGACCGTGGCATTGTGTGGAAGAGCCACACTCAAGGGGCCAAAGAGCCGCATGTGGCTCGAGAGCCGCAGTGTGCCAACCACGGGCCTATAGGATCCAGTCCAAGCACATGGCCATGGGGCTCTTTAGAGCCAGCCGGCACTCGGGGTTCATCCCCTGTGCCCTCCAGCCTCACCCCCACCCTGCAGGCGTGCTAAGCCCCTACAGCCTCCCCAGTGAGCCATGGTTACTCTTTACCATCTGTCTCCGCACATTCTGTTCCATCCTCTGGAGCACCCTTCCCCCCTGTGCCAGCGCCTCCTTCCCTGGGAACTCCTGCCTTCCCTACAAGAGCCAAGTCCAAGGTGGAGTCTTCTCCCACGGCCTCCCTGCTCCAGGGGGAGGGAGCCCCTCCAGAACAGCCCTGAGCTCCCTGCATGGTCCCGGCCCTCTTGGCATGAGGCGCTCCCTGGGGGTGGGGTTCGCCTTCATGGTCTCCGTGTCCCCGGTGCCCAGCACAGGGTGGGTGCGGAAACACTGCCGCGGTCTCCACCATGTGACCAGCGACAAGTCAGAGCGTTTCACTCTCACAGGGAGATAGATGACTGAGAAACACGCTGGCCAAACCGAGTGGGTTAATGTTTCCCTGGGCCGGCAGCGGGCACCTGGAGGAGGGAGAGTCCCAACCTTGCATTTCAACCAGCCCTGGCGGGCGTGTGACCTTGGGGCCTGACCCCTTTGGAATGAGGAACTACGGCAGGAAAATCAAAAGGTCGGTGATGCCAGCTGTAACTAGTTTGCCAATAAATAGTTTTTAAAACATTTTTTAAAATTTATTTTAGAGAGAAAGGGAAAGGGAGAGAGAGAGAGAAAGATCAAGGAAGAGAGAATCATTGATGGGCTGCCCTCTGCATGCCCTCTTCTGGGGATGGAGCCCACAACCCAGGCACGTGCCCTTGACCAGAACTGGACCCGGGACCCTTCAGTCCACAGGCCGGCACTCTATCCAATGAGCCAAACCAGCTGGGGCGCCAATAAATAAATATCGTTAAGCTCATTTCCTGGGACAAAGGATAGAGACAGCTGTAAATACAAGGCAGGTGAATTTCCTCTGCCCTGAAAGAGAAAGACGCTAAGATGAAAGATTACCAAATGCTTGACCTTTGACCCAGGCTAGAACCAGGAAGCCCTAAAGTTGGGGGTGACCTGTGCATCTGTGCTTTGTTCAGAAGGATTCTGTGATGGGCTGCACGGGATCCCCCAACTTCCTGTGTGGAAACTCCAGCCCCCAGTGGACTGCATTTGGAAACCGGGCCTTCACGGAGATAACGGATGTTCAGTGAGGTCAAAGGTGAGCCCGAATCTGATAGGACTGGCTTCTTTATAAGAAGAGGAAGAGCCCAGCTGGAATGGCTCCGTGGTTGAGCACTAACCTAGGAACCAAGAGGTCATGGTTCGATTCCCAGTCAGGGCACATACCCAGGTTGCAAGCTCGATCCCCAGTAGGGGGCGTGCAGGAGGCAGCGGGTCAGTGGAATGATCCTCTCTCATCACTGGTGTTTCTATCTCTCACCCTCTCCTTTCCTCTCTGAAATCAATAAAAATATATGTTTTTTAAGGAAGAGGAAGAGGCACCAGAGATCTCTCTCCACCTCCTCAGGACACAGCGGAGAGACCACGTGAGGGCCCCCGCAGGCCAGGGAGCGTTCCTTCCCCCTGACACCGGCCACGCTGGCACCTGGGCCTGGGGCCCAGCCTCCGGGACAGCGAGAAACCGAACTGCTGATGCTCAGGCCGCTCCCACCAACGGATTCCTCCGCTTCAGTGGTGCCGCATGGTTACAGCAGCCTGCGGGGACCCACACACCCCTTCCCAAAACTGACGGAGAACAGCTGCTGAGGACAGGAAGTCCCTGGCCCACGTCATCCGCACCCCCCCTTCCCCCAGCTGTCAAGGAACGAGTGTCCTCGCTCAGGACAGAGTGCTCCCGGGCCATCCCTCCCTGGCCGCTGTCCCATAGCAGGGCAGACCTCCGCATGCTGGGATCAGGGTCACCTTCACTGACTTCCGTGTCAAGTTTAGGGTCAGTGTGGATGGGGCTGAGGAAGAGTCCAGCTGCCATAGTGTCCTAATTCTTCCCGGGACACACAGAGCCTCGGCCACCCCCCCTCCGTCTGTCCCTGGATCCCCGCCTGCCCCTGCTCCCCGCCTCTCCGTGCTCCACCCTAAGGAGCCAGGAAGGGCTGGGCCTCACGGGGTCCCCATGCTGGCACTGGCCCCACGCACTGCCCGGAGGCACGGGCATGAGTCCTGAGTGCCCCTATGCCAGAACCTCCTCGGAGAAAGAACTGAATGACCGGAACTGGTTTGGCTCAGTGGATAGAGCATCGGCCTGTAGACTGGAAGGTCCCGGGTTCGATTCTGGTCAAGGGCATGTACTTTGCTTGAGGGCACATCCCTGGTGGGAGCTGTGCAGGAGGCAGCTGGTCGGTGTTTTTCTCTCATCGATGTTTCTAGCTCTCTATCCCTCTCCCTTCCTCTCTGTAAAACATCAATAAAATACAGAAAGAAAGAAAGAAAGAAAGAAAGAAAGAAAGAAAGAAAGAAAGAAAGAAAGAAAGAAAGGAAAGAAGGGAAAGGGAAGGAAAGGGAAGGGAAAGGGAAGGGAAGGGAAGGGAGAAGGAAAGAGGAAGGAAGGAAAGAAGGAAGGAAGGAAGAAGGAAGGAAGGAAGGAAGGAAGGAAGGAAGGAAGGAAGGAAGAAGAAAGAAAGAAAGAAAGAAAGAAAGAAAGAAAGAAAGAAAGAAAGAAAGAAGAGAGAGATCCAAATGGGCCTGAACTCCCATCGGGGTGATGGGTCCCTGGGAAGGAAGCTGTCGGGCCAGCACCTGACTGACTGCCCCCCCCAGCCCTGGCCGCTCTGGGAACCGGGAGGGCACCCAGCCTGCGCCTGGGGTGCTGACGCCAGCCTCACAGCCCGCCTGCCCCTGGGAGAGGCGCGTAGGACACCCCTTTCCCTGCTCCGGGAAGGGGAGAGATGTTCCGCTCCCAGGGCTGCTGCACGGGCTGGCACCCTGGGTCGCGGTGGAGACCGCGCAGTAGGAAACACACACACACACACACACACACACACACACACACACACCCCCGCTTGGAGGCAGAGCTAACATGACCACGCAGTGAACAGCCCTGTGCCATGGGCTTACAGACGCCTCCCACACCGTTACCCACCACCGTAGAGCAGCCAGGGGCATCCTGATCCTCCTCTCAGAGGTGGAGACTAAGGTCCCAGAGAGGTTAAGCAAGCTGCCCAGGGACACACAGCCAGGAGATGGGGTTCTGCCAGTCCAGATACAGAGCTCTGGGCTCCTGGCTGCAAGGACCCCCTGGAGTTAGGTGAGGTGTGAGCCCACCCCCTCCCCCAGCGCCCCCTCCCCCAGCGCCCCCTCTGCCAGCACCCCTCCTCCCCCAGCGCCCCCTCCCCCAGCGCCCCCTCTGCCAGCGCCCCTTCTGCCAGCACCCCCTCCCCCAGCACCGCCCCTCCCCCAGCGCCCCTTCCCCCAGCGCCCCTCCCCCAACGTCCCCTCCCTCTCCCCCAGCACCCCCTCCCCCTCCCCCAGCGTCCCTCCCCCAGAGTCCTCTCCCCAACGTCCCCTCCCCCTCCCCCGGCGCCCCCTTCGCCAGCGCCCCCTCCCCAGTGGGGTGTCTCCCCGGAGCCCCGCACTGACCAGGGTGAGTTCCCTGGGCGGACCGGGCGGACAGCTGGCCATGCAGACGCTGCCCGGCCCTGGGCACACGCCTCCCGGGCAACACGCCCCTGCCGCCCCTCCAGCCTGGGCTCTGAAGGCGACCCGGCTCCCCACCACCACCTCCACCCACCACCTCACCCCCCACCCCCCACCCACTGAACCCCACCCCCACCCACCACCTCCACCCACCACCTCCACCCACTCCCCTCACCCCACTCCCCCACCCACCACCTCACCCCCTACCCCCCACCCACCGAACCCCACCCCTACCCACCACCTCCACCCACCACCTCACCCCACCCCACCGCACCCACCACCTCACCCCACTCCCCCACCCACCACCTCACCCCACCGCACCCCACCCCCCACCGCACCCCACCCCCCCACCGCACCCCACCCCCGGACACGGACCCGGACCCGGCGGCCAGGCCACAGCCGGACGGACCTCCCAGGACGGGCTTCGGGTGCCCCTCCGGACCGCCCCTCAGGGCCGGGATACCCAGGGGCTGCCGGGCGGAAGCCCCGCGCCGGGGGAGGGGGAGGCCGGGGACAGGGGGTGGGGGAGGACCCGCCGAGGCGTGGGGGGCGGGGCGGCGCCCCTTACCTTCCTCGCCCGGGTCCGAGGCGGCGGGCTGGCGGGCGTGGGTCCCGCCCATCGTCCCGGCGCCGCTACATGCCCGGCGGGCGCGGGGCGCGGGGTGCTCCGGGGGGTGCGGGGCGCGGGGTGCTCCGGGGGGTGCGGGGTGCTCCGGGGGGGCGCGGGGTGCTGGGTGCTCCGGGGGGGCGCGGGGTGCTCCAGGGTGGCGCGGGGTGCTCCGGGGGGCGCCGGGGGCGGACTCGGGGTGCCGGGCCGGTGCGGGGAGCGCCCAGCCAGGCTGCACCGGCGCCGAGCGGTCCGGGCCGAGCCGCGAGGGGCGGGGACCCGCCCGCCACGCCCCCTCCCCGGCCCGGGCTGAGCGCCTGCGGCACCGGCTCCCGCCCCGCGGCAGCTGCGGGCGGCGGGCGGGGAGGGGTACGGGGACCCGGCCCCTCTCCCCCCTGCACGGAGGCGCGGCGGCTCCGCTTTGGCGCCCTCCGGAGGGGCGTGGCGGGCGCCGGGGGGAGCTGTGTGTGTGTGAGTGTGTGAGTGTCTGTGTGTGTGTGTGTGAGTGTGTGTGTGTGAGTGTGAGTGTGTGTGTGTAAGTGTGTGAGTGTGAGTGTGAGTGTGTGTGAGTGTGTGAGTGTGAGTGTGTGAGTGTGAGTGTGTGTTGTGTGTGTGAGTGTGTGTGTGTGAGTGTGTGAGTGTGAGTGTGTGAGTGTGAGTGTGTGTGTGTGAGTGTGAGTGTGTGAGTGTGAGTGTGTGTGTGTAAGTGTGTGAGTGTGAGTGTGAGTGTGTGTGAGTGTGTGAGTGTGAGTGTGTGAGTGTGAGTGTGTGTGTGTAAGTGTGAGTGTGTGAGTGTGAGTGTGTGTGTGTGTGTGTGTGAGTGTGAGTGTGTGTGTGTGTGTGTGAGTGTGTGTGTGTGAGTGTGTGAGTGTGTGTGTGTGTGTTGGGGGGGGGCGCCCCCGGGAGCGCAGACACCTGGGGAGCTCAGTCCGGAGCGGGAAGGTAAGGGGGAGCCTCAGAGGAGGGCGCGGCCGCCCCCCCCTCGCCCCCTCGCCGAGCTGAGTGCAGGGTCCGCCTCTAGGGCCTCCGGGCGCCCTCTGCAGATCCTCAGCGATTTGTGACACCTGCTCTCCCCCGTGCCCGCCCCCACTCCCTGGCCCTGCTGAGCGCTTTATCCACAGCACCCGCTATGCACAGCACCCGCTATGCACAGCACCCGCTATCCACAGCACCCGCCATCCACAGCACCCGCCATCCACAGCACCCGCTATGCACAGCACCCGCTATGCACAGCACCCGCTATGCACAGCACCCGCTATCCACAACACCCGCCGTCCACAGCACCCGCCGTCCACAGCACCCGCCGTCCACAGCACCCGCCATCCACAGCACCAGCTATGCACAGCACCCGCTGTCCACAGCACCCGCCGTCCACAGCACCCGCCGTCCACAGCACCCGCCATCCACAGCACCCGCCATCCACAGCACCCGCTATGCACAGCACCCGCTATCCACAACACCCGCCGTCCACAGCACCCGCCGTCCACAGCACCCGCCGTCCACAGCACCCGCCGTCCGCAGCACCCGCTATGCACAGCACCCGCCGTCCACAGCACCCGCCGTCCACAGCCACCGCCGTCCACAGCACCCGCCGTCCACAGCACCCGCCATCCACAGCACCCGCCATCCACAGCACCCGCTATGCACAGCACCCGCTATGCACAGCACCCGCTATCCACAGCACCCGCCGTCCACAGCACCCGCCGTCCACAGCACCCGCCGTCCACAGCACCCGCCATCCACAGCACCAGCTATGCACAGCACCCGCTGTCCACAGCACCCGCCGTCCACAGCACCCGCCGTCCACAGCACCCGCCGTCCACAGCACCCGCCATCCACAGCACCCGCTATGCACAGCACCCGCTATCCACAGCACCCGCCGTCCACAGCACCCGCCGTCCACAGCACCCGCCGTCCACAGCACCCGCCATCCACAGCACCAGCTATGCACAGCACCCGCTGTCCACAGCACCCGCCGTCCACAGCACCCGCCGTCCACAGCACCCGCCATCCACAGCACCCGCCATCCACAGCACCCGCCATCCACAGCACCCGCTATCCACAGCACCCGCTATGCACAGCACCCGCCATCCACAGCACCCGCTATCCACAGCACCCGCCGTCCACAGCACCCGCTATCCACAGCACCCCGCCGTCCACAGCACCCGCCATCCACAGCACCCGCCATCCACAGCACCCCACCATTAGGAAAATCATTGCTCCCATCCCAGAGCCCGGCAGGCTGAGGTCAGAGGTGAAGGCGCTCCTCCGACCTGGCTGCCCAGGGGTCCCCACAGCGCCCCGCTGGGCCTGGCTTGCCCACCAGGGAGACCTGTCCTCCAGCGCTTCCCCTCTCAGTGGGCTCCCAGGTGTTTAAGGAATTAAAGAAGGTCCAGACCCTTAAGGATTATACATAGGGAAACTGAGGCCCCAAGGGGCGTGGCCTGCCCCAAACCATGCTCCCCAGCAGTGGCTGGCTGGGCTGCGCTGACTCGGAGTCTGATTAAGGGGTGATTCCCCTCTAGGGTGCTGGGCCCCTGGCCTCAGGAGGTGGGGGAACCAGTCGGGAGGAAGGGAGACGCTGCACCCCGGTAACCTGCTCAGTGTCTCCTTCGGGTCCAGAGGTGAGGGGGGGCCACATAGGGTAAGCACGGACCCTCAGGGGGCGCTCCGGAGTCACGGAGCAGGTTAGTGGGGTGCAGGCCGCCCCGCCCGCCCTCCTGACTGCCTGATCTTCAGCCACATCCTGCCCTCTGCTGGGCGCCCGGAGCCACTGGCCATGCTGTGGAGGAACACTGTTCTTTTTGAGTTTCTCATTCCCACCCACCTCTCTCTCTCTCTCTCTCTCTCTCTCTCTCTCTCTCTCTCTCTCTCTCTCTCACACACACACACACACACACAAAACTCCCAGCACCACAGAGAAGAGCTTGAACCTGGAGACAGCCCCTCCAGCTACCCCATTATCCCAGCGAAAGTTGCAGGATTGCCCAACGGCTGGGCCTGGGGTCAGACAAGCCTCGCTGACAGTTGACAGACCTGATGCTACCACTTCCTGTCCACACTGTCTGCCGTGGAGTTCTGGCCTGTGTCCTGGGAAGGCTGATATTAACGCCCAGGCTGCGGTGAATCAGGTCAGATAACACTGACACAAGCAGATAACAGACAGTGCCAGGCATGTAACAAATGGTCAGAAATTATTTCTTGCCTCTCATCCTACCAACAAGCATTGATGGGGTGGCTGGTCTACACCAGGCCAGGTCCTGAACCAAGATAAAGAAGACACAGCCCCTCCCTCAGGAGGCGGGTAACAGGGGTGGGCTCCAGGCCCTGTTCCGTCCACGTTTCATCCCACTCTGCCACACTCTAAGGTGCTAATGTGGTAAATCACGTGACCCCTCTGGCCTCAGTGTGTTCATCTGTAAAATGGGGATAATGGCATGTCCCCTCCTGGGGTTGCTAGCGGAATAAATGAATCGATGCTGGTGCTTGAGATGCAATAAGCACAGCACAGGTGTCATACTTGGGAATGAGCTGTTCTTCAAATTGTACTTTTTGCTCACAATTCTCCCTTCTCTCCCTGTCCTTGCCTTTGCTCATGGGGTGAGGGCTGTTCCCCCTTCTCCCACTCCACTGATGTGACGCTCACCACGAGACTTTGTTTGGCCAGTGGTATAGAGGAGGCGGTGACAGTGTGCCCCTGCCAAGTGAGTGAAGGCCTTAAGAGACGTTGCATGGTTCGACCCTCTTGTGCTTTTCCCCTCCGTCCTGGGAAGACCGGCCCCCGGGTAGCTCCAGTTACTAGAATGAGAGAGCCAAGCAGCAGACAATAACCCCACCTGAACCCTAAGCAGAACTGCAGGCTCATGAATAAGAAAAACGTGTGTTCTTATAAGCCACTGAGATGTGGGGGGCAGAGGGGGGATGTTTGTTTCCCAGCATTAGCACAGGAAGAGCTGGCTGATACATACAGTAAATAAACAGGCACGTATGCAATCAGTGCTGCGGTGGGAGGTGCCTCCTAGGCACTTGTCCCAGCCCTGAGAGGCAGGAAAGGCAGAGGGTCCCGGAGAAGAGTCAGGAACATGAGTCCCCCCTCCCTCTTCCTTCTTTGCCGATCAGGCATTTCCTGAACACTTGCTGTGGCCCCGGCCCTGGGCTGGGTGCTGGGTCAGACCCCGGGTGGGTGGGTGGGTGGGGGGGGAATAAGACAGGGTCTGCTTTCAGGGAGTTGGAGTTCAGAAGGCCAGATGGGACAAAGACAAAACTCAAGAATGGGTCATACTCTTGGGGGGGTGAGAGGGTCATAGGCAAAGGCTGTGAGGACAGAGGGAGGCGCCTGACCTCTGCTCCGGGTCGAGGTGCCCTGGGAGAAATGGTGTCTGAGCCGAGTCTGGAAAGGCACCGGGCAACCAGCCAGTTGGGAGGAAGAGGGGCCGCCTGTGCAAAGGCCCTGAGGCTGCGAGAGGAGACACCGCCGGAGCTGAGAGCAGTTCCCCGCCACGGAACACGGCACAGGGTGTGCAGCAACAGCGTGTGGGAGAGAGCGTGTGGGCATGGGTGCTCTCTCTGTGCCCGCACGCTGCAGGGTCCCAGGCCCTCCCAGCACCCCCTTCGCCGTTCTCCCTCGTTACAGGTCATGGGCCAGCCCTGCTATCTCCAGCACGTTTCCTGGACCGCCTCTAGCATCCTCACCACAAACCCAGCCGCGGGCACTATGCCTGCACGAAAGGAGACAAGCCACAGAGAGACCACACCAAGGCCAGACGGTTGAGATGTGTTGGACCTGAGATTTCATTCTGCAGTTAACCACAGAGAGCACTCTGGGAAGGAAGGCCTTGGGGAACAGTGGCTGTTTCTGGAGTTGTGAAATTCAGATCATTCTTACTTTATTGTCCAAGAGCTTTGTGTTATGTCATTTATTATTTTAATAATCAGGGAAAGTAATGAAAATTTTCCCATTTTGAGAAAATCTTGTGGACGCTACACTACAGCTGATTTTGTAAGGCATGTTTCAAAATTCTTCACTATAGTGACTGTGTGACATGAGGGGATGCTGTGATTGTCCCCATTTCACAGATGGAGAAACAGAGGCTTAGAGGGCCACATGGCTTCTGTACCCTACC